GTGCATCTGTTTGCCTGTTTGCTTTTGAAGTGTCTCCTCCAATCTTCTGTAAGAAGATTTGGGGAAATGTGCAGTATCTGAAAACTCCTGTGTGGGTCTGGTCCAGTTTTCTAGCTGTTCTCAGCAGGAAGTTAGCCCCGCTTCTCCCTGCTCTCAGCTGGAGGCGGTTATCTCTCCCCTGCCTGTATGTTTGTTGAGTGATGGTGCCCTCTGTGTGGGTCCCCGGTGGACCCCGAGGCAGCCTCTCTAGGCCGTGAGCAGCAGGAGGGGCTGGGGCTGTGTCATCAGCTGTGTGTGGTCCATGAACGTGAGTGGCACTGGAGGGCAGCTTCTCGAGACTTCCTTTCCTTGCTGTTTTTCTTAAGGATTTGTCTTTCTTTTTATTTTTGCCAGCTTGATTATCAAATTTAATTGGACTCCTTTGCACCCATTCTGGGAAAAGCAAAGAGAGAAACTTGGTTGGAAAGGACAAAGTTAGGTAGACAGTTAGGGGAGCAAAGGGGACACTGCTGGGTCGTCTGGTCAGTTGAAAGGAAGGAGGGAAGGAGGAAAGGAAGGGAGGGAGGAAGAGAGGAAAGAGGAAAGGGTGAGGGAGGGAAAGGAAAGATGCCTGGTCCAGTTCTAGGCGTTCAGGGTGGGGGTGGCATATACTTGATGAATGGGAATGAGTGGGTACATGGATGGATGGCTAAAGTTCCCCCAAAGTGTGGCTGAGGTGAGGCTCACCTGCATGTTTGTGTGGCTTCCTGTTTCCCACCCCTGGACTTGGTATCCTGAGCCCCCTCCTTCCATCCTTGTCAACATTTATCTCAGGGGCCCCGGAAACCCCTCCCTCTGCCGTGTTTGCTAGAGCTGCGGGCACCAGCCAGCCATGTGGGACACCACGTGCAGGGGCCCCGTGAGCCCCCCAAGCCACACTCAGGGCTATCTCGGGACAAGCCGTGGCTGCCCATCTGCTGGCCTGGAGGGGAGAGGGTGAGCTCGGCACTCCCTCCAGGGAGCCCTCCCGGTCTGGGCAGACCGGCTTTAGCCTGATTTCCTGTGCTGTCTGCACAGTCCTCTCCATGGAGCAACAGGGCTCTCAGAGGGGACAAGCCTCACATGGGATCCCACAGCTGGAAAGCCATGCAGTGGGACTGCCCCCCTCACCAGATCCCTGCCTGGGACCTCCCAGACCCTGAGCAATGTGGGGACCCTGGAGAGCAGCCCCTGCACCGTGGGTCACCCACCCCCACCCATGGAGGCTGGCCGCCAAGGGCACTGCGGTCTCGGCCATGCCGGGACAATGCTTGGTCACTGCCTCTCTCTTTGCTTTCCAGCCAAATGTTCTGGTTTTGAAGTTGGAATCTTCAGCTGCTGTCAAGAGCATCAGCAAAAAACGTTAGTTACAATCAAGATCTTCAACAAGAGTCCTCAGATGCGGGGGAGTCTATGATATCCAGTATTTCAGTATAATTCACACCCAAGATCCAATCCAAATTATTTACTATCCGGTGATTCTTAGTTGCAGAGAGCTGGTGTGAAAGTGGGTGAAATTCTGTTATGCATGCAGTCAATAAATGTTATTTGTGAAACTCTGAACTGTCCTCTTACCTGATCACTTCTGGTTTCCGTTCATCAGGGAGGCACTTGTTCCCTATTTCTGTGCCCTGGGGAGAGGGGCCAGTCTGAGTGTCTCCTTCCTCTGCCAGGGCAGGGCAGGGACCAGACCCACTGGATAAGGGCTTGACACCTGTTTCAGGTGGGTCTCACTTTAAGTAGCTTAACTTTGCAGATGAATTGCATGTGGCCAGGGCCCTAACCACTGAGCTGCGGGCACCGAGCCCCAGCTAATTTTTCTGTTTTTAGTAGAGAAATGGTTTCATTCTTGCTTAGGCTGGTCTTGAACTCCTGAGCTCAAAGGATCCTCCTGTCTCAGGCTCTCAGAGTGCTGGGATTATAAGTGTGAGCCACTGTGCCTGCTGCAGATTTACTTTTAATAATATATTTTATTTAAGGGCGGCGCCTGTGGCTCAAAGGAGTAGGGTGCCAGCCCCATATGCCAGAGGTGGCTGGTTCAAACCCAGCCCTGGCAAAAAAAAGAAAAAAATACATAAATTTTATTTAACTCAATTTATATAAAATACCACTTTATTGCATGGCTGTGGGCAGCCACTATGGCTGTGGCTGCTCAGTGGACGGCTGTGGCTGCTCAGTGGACAGCGTGGCCCTGGATGCTGTGTGTCTCCACGGGACACAGCCAGGCATTGTCTCTTAAAACAGGTGTATGACTGTCTACGCCCTGGGGATTTGGGAAGGGTCAGAAGCTGGGATGTGTGTGCAGTGTCTGCATTTTAATAAACACCTGTTGGCTTCTCATGGGCGCTGGTCCAGGCCCTGGTCCTATGGTTTACTGCAGGCTTATCTCTGCACTTCAGGGTCCTTGACAGTAGAATGGGGGTGATGATGTGCCGATCAAGTGAGTTAATCAAATACTTTCAACAGTGCCTGGCAGGCAAGTGCCACGCAAGTGTTTGTTAAATAAAAACAAATGACTAGGGCCAAGTGCAGTGGCTGACACCTGCAGAGGCCAAGGAAGGCCGATTGCCAGAGCTCACAGGTTCGAGACCAGCCTGAGCCAGAGTGAGACCCCTTTTCTAAAAACAGCTGGGCCTTGTGGTGGGCACCTATAGTCCCAGCTACTTGGGAGGCTGAGACAAGGGAATCGTTGGTTGCTGTGAGCTATGATGATGCCACAGCACTCTACCGAGAACAACAAAGTAAGACTGTCTCAAAAACAAACAAACAAACAAAAACAAATGACTAAACTGTTGGTATTTATCATGGGTATGGATCACCTGGTCTGTGTGTTCTAGGATTGTCCTGGATCAGAGTGTCATCGACCATGTCACATGTGGCCCAGGGGCAGGTGAAGGTGGGATCCTGGACAGGGCACCATTGGTGGAGCCGAGAATCTGACGCTGTTGATCTGGTTTATGTGTTTTACGAGGTGCCTACTAGGTACTCGGGGACGTCCCCATCCCTCGTGTGCTGCTGACAACCAGCGTGAGGTCTTTTAATTGGCTTTGCACTTAGCCGCACCCTCCCTCAGCCACGTAATGGTCTGGGGTAATGAGCTCTTTCCATCTCAGTGTTTGTTTAATGCTTTATTCATGGTCATGAAACGGTGGCAACATTAATTTCAGGGGAACATTTAATGATGTATGTGTTTGGTGAAGGTCCCCGCTCCTGACCCGTAGGTGCCAGATCTGTTTGGGGCCATGCGAGATGTTTTGCAAGAGAGAAAAAAAGAGGTGCTGTTTTTCTTCAGGGAAAGAAGAGGCGTGTCATGGCTGAACCTTGTTCTTCTGGGGAATATTTGTCAAAGTCGACAGAAAGAAAACGTGGAAATTTCCAGTAGTTCTCCTTTAAGGAGTGGAACCTCTTACTATACTTACTTAGAAGTATAATCGTATTCCTCCAGTTGCTTAGGAATTGGATTGTCCAT